TAGACTGAAGCGAACGCAACACATGAAGCCAAGGCGGGCAGACGGCTGGGAACAGACAACAGGGGCACTTTGTAGTCGCCCTGCCAAAGAGACTCCACCCACGCATGCCGATGTAGGCTGCCGTTTGTTGACATTATACAAATACAGGTATATTTATTCTAATTTAAGATTTATTCACTTTGTTTATTGAGTTTAAATGTGATAAAGGCCTAATCCGTCAGCACACTCGCCTAAAGCCCTCAGCTTTCTGTATTGTAATTTTTTTTTAGTTTTTTAATTTGTGTACATTTATGCACTTTCAAATATAAATGTACGTGTCTATATTTATTATAGTACAAATGCACGAATATTTATTCAAATTTAAGGTTTATTTACTTTGTTTATTGAGTAAAAAATTATCAAGGCCTAGTTCGCCAGCGCCTCGTCTAAAGCCCTAGGCTTCAGGCTTTCGTATTGTGTATTTATTATCCTTTAAGGTTTATTAATGAATATGAGGAAGCCACTGGGGCAGATTGAAAACGACTTTCTTTAGAACTGTTTTTTTGCGTGTTGAGTTTGTTGTCCTTCCCCCGCACTTCCGATTATCACGGTCGGCTATGTACGGTGCGAAAGAAGTTCAACGTAGGTCTGCGAGCTGCTCGCACGAGACGACCTGGTGGCACCCAGGACGGGTCGTAGCAGGCCTTCGGGACGTTTAAAACCACGCAGATATTCAACTCAACACTCACAAACACCCACACACAAGCACACACACAGTGACAACAACCGCAATTTGCCACAAAGTGGCGGTGATGTCACCACGACGCTTGTGCCAGGCTATGTGCACGACCCAGGTGCCACGGCTCGACTGACACACACACTCAGACGAAGACCCCATTTAGCCTCAACGTGCTTTTGGGGCAAGTTGATGTTCCCGAGCAGCATAAATGGGGGCCGGCATGGCACAGGAGGAGGTGTGTGGGTAGCACCAGGCCCGGCCGTTTGTCTCCAAAAGTCACAGGGAGCAGCACCCAGGTCCCTGCGGACCACCGTGGTCGTGGTGGTGAGGAGTGACGCGTCGCTCATGCTCGTGTGAGGTGCACGGAGAGTCTGTGGCGAAAGTGCTTGAGAGCCACGGCAGAAGGACTACGACACCATGGCGGAGGTGACAGTGGTGAAGGAGGGCTGGCTCTATAAGCGTGCTGCAAGCAACTCGGACGATGAGAAATCAGGTGCAGACCACGCTCCGCTCGCTGTCCTCGAAGTTCGAGGATATGAGCACATGCAACGACCTGATCGGCAAGCACGGAGCCACTCTCCAGCGCTCGCTCAACGACCTGGAAACCCTTAAGCTGCCACCCGAGTGCAGCAAGAAGCAAGGCCGTCAATGAGCGCGCAACCCTTTTACGCTTCACCTCCAATGCTATGATCAATAGTGATCTCTTGCTCTAATGTCATATTGAGGGCGGTGCTCATCTCCAAAAACTCAAGCACACGGGCGAGAAGCCATGCATGTGTGACGAGTGCAGCAAGACGTTTCTCGCGCTCGGCCTACAAGTATTTTTTTCGCTTGTGTGTTAAACTGTGTGTACCCTTGATATTTTAAAGATGGCAGTTCTCCTGCTGCTGTGTATCCTACTGCTGTCCCTCCTGGCCATATTTAGTGCCACACTCAACTCTACCACCAGCAACCCTCGTTATTTCTCGTCCATACTTGTTGCTAAATTTGCCACTACACCTGCTAATGAAACAGCTTATAGACACTTCTACACTCCATCATTTTATCCTTTTAAACCCTATCTCTGTCCCATTACTTCACCAGCACTCCTTCCAAACTTCATTCTCCTCTTAAAAATGTCCCCATCTGTGAGCTGCTGCTATTCGTCCAAGGTTCGCCACTCTTCATCCTTTCACAGAAAATACCTGTGCAAACTATTAATTATACTTTTCTTATTTCTAGGAGGTATTGAGCTTCATCCTGGCCCAAATGTAAAGAACTCATATAATTCTGTAGATTTTTCTGGCAGAAAAGGTGTTGGTGTTCTACATGTCAACATCTGAGGGCTTGTGATTATATTAAGTCAACTAAAACTAGAAGTGGTAAATCTGGACCCGGACATTTTTTGCCTTACAGAAACATTTCTCACTCCTTCCGTAAATGACTTGCAGATTAAGATTGACAACTACAACCTTTTTCGGCTTGACCAAGGGTCTAAAGGAGGTGAAATTGCCATCTATGTTCGTAATACTATTGCATGTTCACCAGCTCACTCCTTGTTAAAAAAAATTGTTTTGAAGGTATGGCTCTCAGGATAACTCTCCAAAATAATCAACAGATATTGGTAGTGTGCTGCTATAGACCGCCTAGTGGTAAGGATGTTGAAGCTGTGTCAGCACTGAGAGAGCTTCTTGGGGGCCTCCCTGAAGGTGAAATAGATTTTGTGGGTGATCTGAATTGGAATTGGCTAAACCCGCCGGCCGTGGCCACAAATTTTGCAGATGAATTTAACCTATTACAATTAATAATGTCCACAAGCCCCAACCTAAAAAAATCCGGGACAGGTAATCTCTGCTTAAAGTCCTATTGACTAATGCCCCTTACAATTTCCCGCTTACTGGTGTTCTGAGTAATAACCTTAGTGATCACTCCTTCAATTTGGGGGTGAGATCGTCAGCTAGACCCAAAGCCCCCCCTAAATTGGTTGATAAGCACTCCATGAGACACTTCAGCATACAAGCATTTACTAATGATGTGCTTCACCTCGGATATTGACAAGGTCTGTCATATCCCCAACCTTACTACGGCTTGGGAGACCTTCAGGCACACGTTTCTCCAAATTCTTAACAAACATGTTCCGTTGGTTAGATTTAAATTAAAGGCAACCGCCCACCATGGTTTGATCTTTTGATTACTAAGCTCATGAAAACTAGGGACAGGGAATGTGCTCAGAAAAGTAAGTTGGTCAATGACTGGCTAGATACAGATTTTAAGGAATAGATGCGTCAAAAAAAATACGGTATGCAAAAAATGCTTACTTTTTCCTCCACTCTCCTGGAATCACATGGCAATGCCAGGATCTTCTGGAAAAACAATCAAATTTATCGAAAAGGCATCGAACACAGATAATCTGCCCATTGCGCTGAACCGAAACGGGGACTATTTTTCAGAGCCCCAAAAAAAGTCGACAATTTTAACCTCCATTTTTCTGAAGCTGGTGACCTTTTTCATAATGTATTGGGAGTCACCCCTGCTCATACAATTTCCTACACCCCTGTCCAAACATTAAACGAATTTAGTTTCCAGCCTATCCACGAAAGTAATGTGCTGAAACAACTGTCCTACCTCAAAGGGTCCTCCTCTACCGGAGCGGATAGTATTCCCGTCTTTGCTCTGCTAACTGTTGGTCACCTAATATGCAAACCTATAGCCCATATTTTCAACCAGTCGATCAAAGAAGCATCAGTACCTCTAGAAGGGAAACATTCCTATGTTCGTCCACTTCACAAAGGTGGCCCTAAATATGATCCAAATACTCTTTGGTTCTTTCGGTAAAGTCACGTAGGTATATAATAAAGTAAATTAAATCACGTTTCGGGCGCAACACAAGCGTCCGGCATCAGGTGAGACAACCACAGCAAGAAACAATTTCTGAAGTGGGCAAAAGGGCTACTGTTACAAGAGGCTATATAGGTAAGAGAGGGCGGAGGAGCAAGGGGGGAGAGATAGAGAGAGGGGGGGGGGGAGTGCTGCGAGAACGTTTAGAGGACGATCAGACAAAATGCCGGGGGGGAAGTGGGCGGGGCTGGGAGTGGGAGGCTGAAGAAGCTGGAGATGCGGAAATGAAGGCAACACCATAAAGCAGTTAAGGTTTTAACTGGTTAATAACATCCTTCCAATGATGAATGGGTACTTGGACTGCATTATGAGCAAAGCTATTTCTCCAACCATGGAGAAACAACCCCCTGAGATGCCGATCAAAACCATCAAGTTACCATACATAGCAGGCGTTACCAAAAATATTTCCAAAATCTTAAAACACAAGATCCAGGTCCGATTCAGTGCAGTACAAAAAAATCCGTGTTTAATCCCATCTGTGAAGGATGTCATTCCTGACATGCAATATCCTGGAGTCTACAAACTAAGTTGCACCTGTGGTGGGTGTTACATTGGGGAAACGAAACGACATACAGTCATACCTCGATATATGACCGCTTTAGAATACATCGAGGAGGAGGAGCACAATCAGGAGGAGGGGGGGACACACAGCGTCGAGCAGACAAACAAAAGGGGGACCACATTGGTCACGAGGGGCCACGGCGGCTCGGAAAAATTGCGCAACGCAGAACGTTGCGCAATATTTCTTAATTCTGCTGAAGCACAAGGTGTGCTGGTCTCGTCGTTGCGAACGTCGCAGCCCCGAATGACCCCTCCCCGAGCGAGAGGACGAACCCCGCGCAGCAGCGCGGTGTCGGTCAGAGGAACACGACGACCCCTGCTGTATATTTGTGTGTGACGAGATGTTAACTACCTCGCCTGATATACAGGAAGTCGTGGGTTTCGTCCCGACCCTGATGATGCCTGTTGTATGTTTGTAGTTTGCACGTCCGCCCCCTCACCATGCTTGTGGATTTTTCTCCCGTGACCTCCGTTTTTTTTTCTCTCCACGTTTAGAAACATGTGTTTAGTAGTAGTAGGAAAGCAACTGCAATTTGTATATTTACCAGGTAAAAGCCCACTGAGCCATATACATAGCTCTTATTAAGAAAAGACCTGCACATGACAAATGATTGCTCAACGAAGTGGCCTATCGTCACATGTGCGCTTCAGCAGAATTTAAAATATTGCAAAATTTCCATTGTGCAAATTCTTTGTCTAAATCGCTGTGGCACTGGTGACCAATGAGTGCCCCCGTTTTTGTCCACTCTACGCTGTGGCCCCGATACCCCTCATCCCTCGATTGTATAAGAAGCCCTGGCACTCACGCAGATCCGGCTCACAGCACCTATGCTGCTCCACTCACTGTTTGCGCGCAGAACGTTCGCAGACACCAACATTTTGTACATTTGAACAAGAGACATTTTCATAATTTTTTGGTTGTGTGCTGTTAACCATTACCAGCTTACATTTTCAAATTTGGGCCCAACATTTATTTTTGTTCTAAGTTTTTGAGTTTTACTATCCGAAATAAATATATATTAACCACTAACATTTGTCGTAGACAAACCCTGTGGCCTCGTCTCTCTCTGGGAATGATGGAGGCGCTGCTGGCTGTGTGGATGGTGGGGTTGGTGGGTCTGCACAGAGCTCAGGGCTACAGTGCTGGAGCACCAGGGTCCACCTGCACCACCATGCTTCCAGATCACGGCACCAACACACTGACCGGCACACCCTACTCCATCGTCACCAACAGCAGCACCTTCACCTCTGGCACCAAGGTTAAAGGTGAGTGAATGACCCCCCCCCCCACCCACCACCACCCCGACACAACTCCCTACGCTCGTCGAATGTACGCACGTTGAGTTTCTTTCACACTGAACGTAGCCAACCGCGCTAGTCGCAGGTGCGGATTCCTCCAGCCCGTATCGCGGGCTCAGTCGAAAGGACTGACCGCTCATCTGCACGGCGTTCAACCATCACGGATCGCTCACTCACTCAGCTATATAGTAGCTTGGCAAGCGAGCAGACGCTACAGAGTTGTACTCTACTTAATTACGACAGGGCAGCCTCGATTTACGAAAATAAATTTTTCATAAGTGTTGCCCATACAGAGTTTCGATAGAACCTCGCGCTGACTCAGAAAAATGTCTCCAGTGGCGAAGCCGACTTGTCATAAAGGGCCCTGTACATCTCCAATTCAAGAGTGCGCTGGGCATAAAAGCACTGGGAATTGAAAACGAACCTGTTTGTCCACATTAACTCTGGAGTCATCACGGCCACAGCTCGTGTCACGAAAGGGGTGAGTAGCACGACAGCCGAGCTAAGGTGGCGGGGGCTGTGAGCGTCTCAGAAATTGTCGCCTCCTTGTGTCTGTCCACAGTCACCATCGTGGGCACCTTCAAGGGCTACTTCCTGCAAGCGCGAATACCCGACACCGCGACCATCGTGGGCACATGGGACACCCCACCTACAGGCAACAAATTCGTACAGGTGACTCAGCCCACGGTTGACATCATCCTCATAATCACGATCCATGGACAGATAGTCCGTAGGTGTCCACTGCACATCTCGTCATTTGTTTCCACTTTCCTTTGCCTTGTGCAACATGCTCAAGTACATCTTGTTAGCACCAATCTCTTATGTCGTCAAGCCATTCTCTGAGGTCTTTCTCCCTTTCCGGTGCCTTTCATATTTCCGAAAAACACTTTGAATTTTCATCCTACATGTTGTGTGCCCAAGTGCCAGTTTCCTTCTCATCACCGCCTGCATCATCCTCAGGTCGTCTTCTTCTACGTGCAACCTTGTTTTTTACTTCTACGTTGGTCACTCTTTGGGTCCTGCCATTACTCCTTTTGGCTTTGTGATCCTCACTGTTATGTATTCCATGCAGTCGTGTGTAGACTTCCCATTTATACAAATTCCTTTACCCATAAGAAGTTATTGAGTTACATCTCGTAAATGTGTCGTTAAATCCGCCACCACCCGACTCAGCCAATTTGTAAGGTTTGTCCAGTAAACAAAACATGGAAATTCGGCACGATTTGAATAGAATGTGGTGGGTGGTTAATGCGCGGGTTAGGGGATGTTTCAGGCTGGGCATTGGCACATGCTAAGCACACAAAGCCCCTTTAACTCAAGGCGAGGCGAGGGATGAGGGATAAACACGACTGGGGCACGTGGTCATCCTGTGCACGTTTCCTTCATTGCCAACCCGGCCTGGGCTGTACAACGGCCCACAAAGGGCTACATAGGCTCATCAGGTTAATTCCAGCTTCAATAACAATGTCCATTGTCGTTTTGTTTCTATCTCGCAGTGCAATTCCGTGGCAAACGACGCAATGACGCACTCCAGCAGAACCTCCAAGACGAATCTGAGCTTGTATTGGATCCCCCCGACTACAAACCCTCCCAGCTCTGTAGTGTTTGTGTGAGTTCACTGTCACAGGGCACTCTTATAAGAACAACCCACTGGATTTTTATGAATATTAGTACTAATTACACGCCACAGTGGCTACGAGATGTTAACTACCTTCACATGGTATACAGAAAGCTGTGGGTTCGATCCTGACCCCGACGCCTCTATATTTGGAGTGTGCATGTCTCTCTCCATGTGGTCACGTGGGTTTTTCTCTGGGTCCTCCGGTTTTCCCTCCACATTTAGAATGGCCACATGTTTAGAGTATTTGGCTGCTATAAATTTCCACATCAGCCACTTCGATGAGCTATATAGCTCAATGGGTCTTATAAGGTAAAATAAAAAAATATTATTGGTGTAAGGAAGGCCTAGAGAACCCTATGATGGGATACGGTGAGTCCTCGCTTAATGCGTGACGGTGTTCACACTACAACGCGTTTTTTCTACAACACGGTTCTTCCGTTTGGGAACGTTTATCTTGCCGTTATGTGATGTTATAACGCAGAACGTGCCTGTTACATCGCGGAGACCGGTAGGGAAGACAAAGGGAGATTGGTGGAGAGGCCGTTAAGTTTACAGAAAGAACAGAGAAGACAAAAGGAGCGGGTAGAAGGGGTTCGGTGTGGTGCATTGTAATGGAGAAATTCCCTGAAGCGGTATGCGCTGTGTTGAGGTGACAAAGTTCACGTTCAAAGGCTTACCTTGGACTGCAACCCCCTTACTTTAATATTACTCCGCTTGTCTACCTGGGAGAGTCTCGCCGAATCTCAAGACCCTTTTCTCAGGAGGGTCCTGTCAAGGTGTCGCATCTGGGGGGTGCGATCCTGCTGTACGTCATCTCTACTGACTAATCTACAGTTATTTGTTTTTAAAATTTTGGCGTTTTTTGGCCACTAAGCGGTTGCATTGTCCTCCGATGGACGTTCTCTTCCCAAGAGCATCGGGGATTGGTTCTACTCGACGACTTTTGTTTACGATTCCATATCGGCAACTCCATTGGGGAGTAGCCGGCCCTCCTTGTCTCTCTCCTCTCGTGAATCGTAACTAGGGGGACAGGTCGGCTAAATAAATACACAACAAATAAAATATATTTCTGAGACCAGAGGTTATATCAAAGGGTTCTTCCGAGGGGCGTTTGCGTGCCAGCAATAATGACCAGACACGCTCCCTATCACCCTCCATGTCACGCAACACCTCAGCTCAGTCCCTCAGCACGGAGTCCACCCCAACATCTCAATTGGGGGAGTGGCCTGCTGTGCACGTGAGCAATTACAGCAACACATAGTGGCAGAGCGCACAATTGTGCGTATGATTAATCACGTGTAAACTCACACTGACGACTCTGTAGAGGCGAGGCCTCAAGTTGTTACACGCCTGACCTGTGTCCACCCCACAGAGCGACCGTGGTCAAGACGGAACCCGAATGGCAAATGAACGTGCAGTCGGCGAAGGTCAATGCCTCAGGTGAGTTCAGTGGCAGGGTTTTATTTCTCACTCAGGTGACTTTCCGTGTGTTGATCTGTAACTTCCCCCCCTCTCCTGCATGGGTTTCCTCAGAGTTCTCCGGTTTCTTCCAATGTGACTGGTATTGGTCAAGCATCTCAATATGGAATTACCTGCAACATGTCCTGCTCCTCATAAACAAACATTCCCCGTATAGCCTTAACAGACTGGTGGGGCAAGTGCTGTTAGCGAGTCGCAGCACTTATTAAGGCCGGCATGGCATACGTGGGGGTGTATGGCCAGAACCACACCCGGCCGCTTTTGTCACCCTAGCCACAATGTTTACACACACCAGGAATCAATTTGAGGCTGAGTTGATCTAGGGGAGGCTCAAGACCAGTTAAGATAACCGTCACCGATGTGGATGGCCATGAGCGGGAAACGAACTCGGGTCACCGGGTCTACAGCGCAGCGTGCTAACCGCCAAATTCTGCTCCCCCAACTCATAAACTACCGTGACACGCAGCGCCTCCCTTCGCATGAGCCTTGTGTTGTTAGAACGGCGCAATTACTGAATGAACTCCAGCATATCAAAGGTCGCATGGCAAACGCCGTTGAGTAGCGCTCGTGACCTTTGAAAAGCACCCAGAGACCTGCTCCATGCCGGCAGCGCCCATTCACAATGATCCACCGGCGCCATCGAAGCCCACAAACCTCCTTCCGAAAGTACGTCAGCGACAAAACCTAGTGCTCACGCGTGTGCGACACCCGGAGAAACCCCTACATGTGTACGCAGGGGACAACACTCTGTCCCATACAGATAGGCCAGATGGGAAATACTGCAGTCCGCACCTTGCTGTGCCACCTTCTCCTGGCGAGCCAGGGATATGGAGCACCTCCTCGACGCCCATGTGGAGGGAGTTTTACAATGTTGCGTGTGACCCCTCACCCCCGATAAGCATGGTTGGCTACGTACGGTGCGAATGAAGTTCAATATACATACGTGATCCACAAACTCTCGTTGACTCCACAGCGCTGACTCGCAGGCATGCATAGCCACAAGACCAGGCCTTGCAAGTGGTGGATAAGGCTTAACATGCAAAAACTTTCTCTGTCTGTTTTGTGCGAGAGGAGCGATGACAATATTTACAAAAACCTCATTCCCTTGTGTGTGCTGCAGGTTATGTAGCCACAACCAAGCCACCAGCTCAAACCACAACCAAGCCACCAGCTCAGACCACAACCAAGCCACCAGCTAAGACCACAACCAAGCCACCAGCTAAGACCACAGCCAAGCCACCAGCTAAGACCACAACCAAGTCACCAGTTAAGACCACAGCCAAGCCACCAGCTAAGACCACAACCAAGCCACCAGCTAAGACCACAGCCAAGCCACCAGCTAAGACCACAACCAAGTCACCAGTTAAGACCACAGCCAAGCCACCAGCTAAGACCACAGCCAAGCCACCAGCTACGACCACAACCAAGCCAGGCAACTCTGCCGGGCGTGCGGCCCTCGCCATGTCTGGGTTCTCGCTGGGCGCGCTGCTCGTGGTCTTCACAGCCGCGTGCTGCCGTTGATTCCACCGGCGAAGTCACGGAGTCCTTTCAGCGCGTGCAACGATCCCTAGAAGTAACGATCTTTGGTGGGGGGTGGCGGGGAGGGTGGGCAATGGGCCGGGTTTCTAACTTCATTCACAATCCGGCAAAACAACTCATATCGCTGCGACGAGGCGATTCGGTTGGAACGAGCGGAGAGGGGCGGGCGCCATCCACTCGGACCCAGCATCTAGAGTGACCACGAGTCCCCAGGGCTCTCCGTTCGCCCCACGTTCACTCTCTTGCACTCTCGCTCACAGCGCACCTCCGGTCCCTCGTGACCCTGCCTCTCCCGTCCCTCTCCACTCCAGCTCAACGAAAAATCTCCACCAGCGCTGAAATACATCTCCTTCTCTCCTCCGCCTGTTGTCCTTGCTTCTCTTACCCCCCCCCCCGCCCTTTCCGTCTCGAATCTTCTCCTGTCCCAGATACGCCCGGTCGCTCCGTACCCTTGGCAACTCCCGCCAAAATCCCCCCCTCCTCCGGCTCCCTCCTCGGGTAACGCCCCCACCTCATCAGCCGATCTCCATGGCAACTCCCGCCACCACTCATCCTCGAGACGTTTGTCCCAACGTCACTTGGCCGCCTTCTATCCATCGACACCTGTACACTCACCCCGTTATCTCCCCCTCATCCCATCCTCACTCTAGCCAGGTTCCATTTTGTCCCCCGCCACCCCAACCCAAAACTCTCGAGGCCTGTCCCCGGGAGTAACTTTAAGCCCATTGCTGTTAATCGCCGCCGAACCCCCTTTGACACGAGCCCGGTGAGAGCATTCCACCGTGCCATTTGTGGGTGCTGAGGGAAGGTGTTGTCTGGGTTACATCTTAATCAATAAATAATATTCTAAAATTAATCATTGTCATCGTCGTCATTGTCTACGGCAGTTGTTCTCAACCTTGTGTTTCCGTTACTGTTACCCCACTCGTTGAATTTTGTCTCAACCGAGCACCTTGCCCAATCCAACAAGGTTCTGAGAAATAAATGTACGAATAATGAGCATAAATATTTTAACAAATTGTACATTTCGTGATGTATCTTTAAGTAGCTAGTAAATGCAAGCAAGACTTAATTTGTTGGCACTCACTGGTTACTCTTGGCAACCATATTGTTTACCATCACTGAGTTTAGAAAGGTATTTTATGACGTTCTAGGTTACCATATATATTTACATTTTCTCGTAGTTATTTTTTCTTGGCAGATTCACACACAATGATTATTCACCAATGATACTTCCCGTATGATAGAATTTCAGACATTTATAAATCACCTCGCGTACCCCCCTGGGACATTGCCACGTGTACCCCCCAGGGGTCCACGTACCCCGCGGCTGAGAACCACCACTCCATGGGGTAGGGTTTCCCCAAATGCAGTCCCCGCAACCAACCGAACGGTGGCCTTGAACTCCGTGCAAGACCCACCAACCCCACACCGTACACACAGCGAATAGCAGCGCCTCCATCGTTCCCAGGGAGACTGTGCCAAGGGGTTGAAGTCGACAGCAAATGTCGGTGGTCAGTAGAATTTATTTAGGAGGGTAAAACTCAAAAGCAAAAAAAACTATTGGACAAATTTGGTTAACACACAAAAAATGAGTTTGCTGCAAAACAAAATAGAATCGTTGTTTGTAAATGTTCTGAACTTCAAGCGGCAAGTGGCGGAGCAGAGCTGCCGTGAGCCAGACCTGCGCGGATGGCAGGGCTTCTTATCATAATCTCTATTTACACTGCAGGAGGAATCCGATGAGCTATGAAGCTCTTTTTCACAGATGTCCGGTAGGGGCGGGTCAGAACATTACAATACAAAAACACAATAGGACTTCAAAGTACAAGAAAGATAAATAAATCACTCTAACACCTACAAATAAAACTAAACCATACCCATCCTACCAGACAAAGCCCACTGAGGTATTCATTTATTTTTAAAAAGCAAGCTGGGCAGATATGAAGGCTCAACAAAGTGGCTGATCATGCGGAGGGAAAAACCGGAGGACGCGGAGAAACAATTAACGCGACCACGGGGAGGACGTGCAAACTCCACATAGACACAGGCGTCAGGGTCGGGATCGAACCCCCGACCTCCTACATACCATGCGAGGAGGATAGCATCTCGTCACAGTGGCGCAACTTCAATAAATAAAGTAGACAAGTTCAGCTTGCACCATCAGTTCCGACCCTTATACTCGAGAGATGAGCGGGGGAGGAGGAGGGGGGGACACCGCGGGGAGCAGACAAACGCAAGGGGGACCACATTGGTCACGAGGGGCCACGTCGGCTCGGAAGAATTGTGCAACGTGGAACATTGCGCAATATTTCTTAATTCTGCTGAAGCGCAAGGTGTAGTGGTCTCGTTGTTGCGCTGCCCGAGGGGACTCGAAGCGAACGTCGCAGCCCAGAATGACCCCTTGCCGGGAGGACGAACCCCGCGCAGCAGCGCGGTGTCGGTCAGAGAACAGCGACGACCCCTGCTGTATATTTGCGTGTGACGAGATGTTAACTACCTCGCCTGGTATACAGGAGGTTCGTGGGTTCCATCCCGACCCCGATGATGCCTGTTGTATGTTTGTAGTTTGTATGTCTGTCCCTCACTCTCCCGTGACCTCCGTTTTTTTTTGATTCTCCACGTTTAGAAACGGATGAAAGCAACTGAAATATTTTTTTTACCAGGTGAAAGCCCACTGAGCCATATATTTATAAATAACGCGATTTAACCCACAAACCTTTATTATGAATAGTACTGGTCGCGAAAGCCTACGTGTTAAATTGAGCCAAACACATACCTCTTTTTAAGAAGTGACCTGGACATGACAAATGATTGCTCAAGGAAGTGGCCTCTCGTCACACCATGCACTTCAGCAGAATGCTAAATATTGCAAAATTTCAATTGCGCAAACTCTGTCTAAATCGCTGTGACAGCGGTGACCAATGAGTGCCCCCGTTTTTGTCCACTCCACGCTGTGGCCCCTATACCCCCTCATCCCTCGATTGTATAAGAAGCCCTGGCGCCCACGCAGGTCCGGCTCACAGCACCTATGCTGCTCCACTCACCGTTTGCATGCAGAACATTCGCAAACACCAACAATTTTAACATTTGAACAAAATACATTTTCATTATTGTTTGGTTGTATGCTGATAACCTTCGCCGGCTTATATTTTAAAATTTGGCCCCAGCATTTATTTTTGCTCAAAATTTTTGAGTTTTACTATCAGAAATAAATATATATTAACCACTAACATTTGTCGTACACAAACCCTGTGGCCTCGTCTCTGTCTGGGAATGATGGAGGCGCTGCTGGCTGTGTGGATGGTGGGGTTGGTGGGTCTGCACAGAGCTCAGGGCTACAGTGCTGGAGCACCAGGGTCAATCTGCACCACCATGATTCCAGGTCACGGCACCAACACACTGACCGGCACACCCTACTCCATCGTCACCAACAGCAGCACCTTCACCTCTGGCACCAAGGTTAACGATGAGTGAATGACCCCACCAACCACCACCACCCCGACACAACTCCCTACGCTCGTCGACTGTACGTACGTTGAGCTTCTTTCACACCGAACGTAGCCAACCGTGCTAGTCGCAGGTGCGGATTCCTCCATCCCGTATCGCGGACACAGTCAACCGGACTGACCGCTCATCTGCACGGCGTTCAACTATCACGGATCGCTCACTCAGCTATATAGTCGCTTGGAAAACGAGCAGACGCTACTGTGTTGTACTCTACTTAATTACGACAAGGCACCCTCGATTTACGAAGATATTTTTTCGTAAGTCAAAACGTAATAGCGTTCCGTATTTAAATGTCCATTAAAGTAGCATAACATTAAAAAATCCGTTTATTTCAACTTACTTTGAGTCCTGATGCTGGTTTGCTTGTCAGAAGGGATGCAATGAGTCACCAAAATTGCACTCACACAGACACACACGGGGCACGCACACACACAGGCCACACACACACAGACGCACACACATGGGGCACAACAACTAAGTGGCGGTGATGAGCACCACGACGCTTGTGCCAGGCCATGTGCACCTTGAGGCCACGTGAAGTATCGAACGCCGGCTGGCAGGAGGTCACGGGGCAGACCCAGCAGGTGCCACGGGTCGACTGACTGAGATGACCGAGATGAATGGCTGATGCACCACCTGTGCCCCCTACTGTGCCAACTTGCTGTGCTTTAGCCACCCGGCACTCCGCCCTCCGTTGTTGTTGGAGGGCGACTATCTCCAACTGCCCAGCAGCGTCCTTCACGAGCCTCCTCCACAGAGGCCGATCTTGACACCGCAGGTACCAGTCATCGGCAAGTCCACTCAGCTCCACGTCCTCCTGTACCACATCACTCCATCTCTTCTCTAGCCCGTGCCGCGCCTGTTTAGCCCCCTCGATCCGGCCGAAAAGCTGTTTCGGCATGCGGTGGCTGGGCATGCGGGCTACATTACCCAGCCAACGCAGCCTTGCCTGCCGGAGGAGCTCACCGATGGGACTTTGCCCAGATCTTTCAAGGATTTGTGAGCTCCTCACACAATCCAGCCTGGTTAAACCCAGGATGGATCATAGGCAGGCCAGCGTAAATGTTTTCAACCGGCGAAGATGCTCCATTAAGGGGGTCCACGTTTCGCAAGCGTAGAGAAGGGAGGGAATGACTGTGGCCGAGAAGACATGAAGCTTCGTGCAAAACGACAGACCAGGTAGCTTGCACACAGCGTTACGCAACCGATGAAAATATATTGTCGACTGATTCGGAGTGAGACCTCTGCTGTTAAACTGGAGCCGGTCATGAGCACACTGCCCAGGTATGGGAAACTCTCCACTCTCTCCACTACTGCCCCATCACGATTGCGAGTTGTGGGGGTGGAGTGTCCGATGGTACAAAATACCCAGGCAGGTGCTTAGTTTTGGTGGGGCTGATGGTAAGGCCCCACCTCTTAGGGGCACACTCCAGTTTCAGCAGCAGCGTCTCCAACTCCTCCACTGAATGAGTGGCAATTACCAAATCATCAGCATTTATAACGTGGTTGACCAATAGGGAGCCATCCCTTGACCGCACCCGGGTATCGATCAGCCTCCCATTATATCTGTACCAAATGGAAATTCCCCCAGTACAGCTACTTAAGGCTTCATGAACTACGTGGTCAAAATATATGTTAAATAATGTGGGAGCCAGAGGACATCCCTGTCACACCCCAAGGTGTACAGGGAATGGCTCCAACTCCCGGCCATGTAGTTTTACCCGGGCCCGCTCACCATCATGAAGGTCCTTAATGATCGTGAGCAGAGGGTCCGGGGCTCCGAAAGCACGAAGAACAACCCAGAGCCCAGGCCTACACACACCCACTTTCACACACACACGCACAAACACTCCCAGCGCAAGGTTGACCGATGACATATCGCACAGGATCGCTCCGCTGAACAAAATTGTTCCCGTGGTTCAGTTTGCAAGTGCGAGTTCGCGTTTTAAGTCGTCAAAATAAATATATTTTATGGAAGCTATTTCGAAAGTTGGGTGTTCGTAAATGTGGGTGTTCTTAAGTTGAGGACTGTCTGTGTTTCGCACATTTCCTTTGGACCTGGAGGATGGTTGATATGCACTGTACCGACATCTGGTGCCAAGACTGTTGAATTTCAAAACTGCAGTGCTCTGCGTGTTATCCCCCCGACGACCCATTTGGGAGATCCAAATTTGTGACGGACGGACATTTTCAACTGATTATGAACATTGCGCTGACAGAGAAAAATGTCTGCGTGAAGTCTCCAGTGGCGAAAGCGAATTGTCCTTTAGAGCCCTGTGCGTCTCTAATTCAAGAGAGCGCTGGGCATAAAATCACAGGGAATTTAAAACGAACCCATTTGTCCACTTTTACTGTGGAGTCATGCTGGCCACT